TCTTTACTGGTGATGGAAAATGGGAGTTGTTCGGTATGACAACTGTTTACCTGGAGAGTAACCTTATGCTTAGATTTAAATAACTTTTAAAACTTAGATAGACATTGCGCATTGAATGATCCGAACCGATGAATCTCTTGCCTCTATAGTTAGTAACACAAAATAAGGAAGTATTCAACAGCAATATGATCTAACGATTAAACTGATATCGACTATCATCAAATAGTAAACAGCAATACAGTACGTAAATGTGTAGGTTATTTGGTGTTCGGTCGAATTCGACTGTATAAATTGATAGTGAACTAATTAGGCTCAACGCAGAGGGAAATATTAAATGAATTTATGCAATCGTTACAGTAATGTTTCAGTTGGCTACGACGTGAAATGACTTCTTGGCAAGGAACTTTATGTAGTCGTGGCGTCGGTCGACCACCATGTCATTGCCACTGTTAAATTCATGACAACTTTCAAGGCGTGGATAACAAATCCTGAAAGGCTAACGTTACAATCTTGCTAACGTAGTCCTATTTAAAATCTGCCCACAACAATCACAATCCTACAAAATCTTACAAAATCTGCCTAATCTATCTACATTGGACCACATTGGCAATGCCGTAACCATCCGCTCATATCCGCTAACTTCTCCTTAAACCTACACTTCACTTACTTGGTAATATTTTGACTTCGCACGACACACATAATCAATTTTATCTACCTCATAAATATTTAAATAATCAAAATAATAATATTCAAATGTAATTTACAAATCACCAGATAGTTTCTCGATATTTGCATCAAACGGGATGCGAGTGGCTTCTTCTGCTTCAAAGTCTATAGAAAACAACTATGCTCTAACCAGTATCTCAAAAAATCATCTTACATTCCTACGTCATAATCAATATTATGCCCAGCAAACGTCATGGGGCATGAAGTTACTATACTTACGATCGACTCCGAGGGAAAATTAAAACCTTCGTCAAAACTTCTTATAAATAGATGCGTCCAATGTTTAATACTATACCTAAACGCCCTAAATTTGAATGTCAGTCCGTTTTCCAGTCATAATTCTCCAATTTCAATACATTTTTACCCTGACATTTCTGAAAATATTAAATGACTTGATCCTCAGCCTGGGTTTAAAGCAAGAACCTCGTATATCAAATCACATGAAATTACCGAGACAACATTAATACGGGCTAAATCTGTAAGTTGTTAGAACACAGAGTAGTCGAATGTGAGCTGGGAGCTTAAAGGAACCGTAACGCTGAGCGTTCGCGATTTGCTGTCCATGCCTGTAAAACTGCCATGATTTTAACAAAAGATCTGTCGCAACAGCCGAATCGACACCGCGGCAACCAATGAGGCTACTGATCAAGTAATCACTGCACATTGCAGCCTGCGTTTTTGCCTCTAATGGTGAGTTGAAAGTTCCAGAAATCTATCCAGACAAACTTATTCAAGGAGATGAACACTGCCCTAATGATGGGCAATGCCAATTCGGTAAAAAACATTGGACAGCTATCAAACAGCTCCTTGTTTCATACATTGAAAACCATGGAACTGGAAGACGTGTTGGATGATTTCGTGTTCATTTTTTCGACGTTATTTAAGGACATATGTTGAGGTTGAAAAAACCTAAATTGAACTAAGCCAAAAACGCCTTACCTCTCTTTTGGTATCATACAGCCTGTAGTAAAGATGATAGAATGCTTCTGCTTTTCGACAAACTTCAGAATCAACAGCCTTAAAGCACATTTTAAAAGTAATTTGACCAAAAAAACATGGAATGAAATACCGACGAACAAACAGATATGCCCTTCTCAATCGAGTAATTATAGTTAAGAATAATATAATCTGCTTACAGCTGCTCCAGGCAGAGATTCGAATGTCACAGGTAGACACATGGTCAGAGCATCTGTAGACAAACGCCTAATGACAAACGACAAGTGTAATACGGTTGGAGTGCTAGAATTTTTAAATCCACTCAGGGTACATCGCTTCTCTGGCGAAAGATGAATATTATTAATGAAAGCTTCATGAAGTATAATTCCAAACAAAGAATGAACTGGCACCACAGATGAGGGATATATTTACTCATCAGAAAGAAAAAATCAAATTCGTAGACTACAAAACGGTGAAACAATCGAAAAGAACAAACTGACGATCTCGCAACGTATAATGGAAGAAAGAATGTGCAGTCTCCAACAGGTTCCTATGCATAAATTCGACAATGGATAGAATTAACGGAAATGACCTGCTTGTACGACGCCAAGAGAAGACGAAATGGCCATGCTCTGGTAGAGGTTTAGAATTACGACTGAGTTACACTGGACAACAAATATTCCCTGTTGGAAAAACAATGATGGTCAGTTTACTTAACGACTATTCGAAACAGAGAGCATAGAAGATTAGAGGAGCTGGACTTAGTTTAATGGCTCAAGAAGGACGTATGTCAGAAGGGCGATGACTATAAAATATAAGGAAATATACTGAAACTTATAAACTAAAAGATGCATTAATAATTGTCCTGTTTGGAATAATGAAAAATTGCCCATGTCCATGATGGATACATAACGAGGGTTAAGCGGAGAGATGTGACACGAGTAAAGAAACGGTGAACTTTCTTCTGAGAAAAACGTTTTGGTAGAACAGGAGATTAGAAAAAGGAAATTGACTTTCTCGGATCAACTATTTGAGCGTAAACCATTTACTTCAGCTGCGAGCTTACCGCGAGGAAATCCAAACACGGGAAATATCGGCCACTAAGCCTGTAGGACACAATAAAGACAACGAATAAAGCATACGTAGATATACTGTCAGAGACGAATCGTACCTTCTAAGATGCAATAATCGGTGATTTATAGCAAGTGTTGCAAAGTTGCGGATGGATCAGAGACATCACAAGCCAAGGAAGTTCTGCTTACGCAAACGTCTCAGTGGTCCTTACAACATGGGAGATATGAACATATATTGGCTGTTAGGCAGATAGCCAAAATATGAAAAATCCAAACAGAAAAACAAAATAAAAAGCAAACCTCAATGCTTTGGGTTGCCATTCGTTGTGTTCCAGAAACTCGTCGAATTTCTTTATGAAAAACAGTTTCTGACTAAAAGAAAAACTTAAAAAACATGCACGCTCTTCAACAGAATGGTCTCAGCGCAACTTTTAAAAGCAACACGAAAAGTTGAAACGAAACTTGCCCATAAAAAACATTCAATTTACCAGAAAGCAAAATATTTTGCATAAAATTTAATGTTACAACAACAAACAATTCCTTCATTGAATGGTAGCCATAAATAAAACAAAAAATAACATGAGAAAGAGCATCAGCATAGAGAAAAGTCGCTTTGAGGATTAAAACAACGAACAATTCTCTACCTCTCGAATTGCTCTGGATGGGACATAAGATTGTCCCTTCTCCTTTTAATCCGACGTTTTGGCTTCCCACGTAAGGCTATGAGGTGTTGAACTCAAATTTCTAGACGGCAAACAGAAGTCATGATCAGGAATATTTCACAAATTATGACAGAGCAGACAGTTGGATAATAAAATACAGAAAAATTGGAAAATAACGAGGAAAGCCAAAACGTTTATGTAAAAAATGAAAAAAACTATGGAAGGAGTGGCGAACAGAGAGTGGGGATTCAGACTAGAAATGCCCATGATTAAACGTGAAACCAACGAGAGGTTAGCATCTTCAAGCAGAATCAATGTCATTGAAGTTATGGCAGTTGTTATACATCCTTTTCTTGTTCAGGAATTCCCTAATATATAAGTCGAGTCAATACTTTTCGTAGTCAAGGAAGCTGATGCCCTAACCGTTAGCTGTTTACTTTGCAAAAAAATGTGCTATAATCCTATAGTACATTCAACGATATCTCACAATGAATGATTGAATGTTCTTTAATTCGTTTTTGAAGGGTTTTGTACGTTTACCAATATAAATTCGATGATAATCGAAGCAACAATTGGCTTGTCACGCTTGACTAAAGATTTTAAACTCTAATATAGAATGAATTCAAGCACGGTAGTTTATAAAAAACCCGCATGCCTTGTTTCTAGAAATAACATTCAAATGTGGGAGCTTATCGGATTAAAGGGAATGAAGATGACATTTTTTGAAGCTTCTCTAAGGACCACATTAAAGATAAAAAAACGAATTAATATGAACGGAGAATCCTGTTTAAATACACTGTTTAGAACGACAAGCTCGATGCAAATCGCTAATTCCCGAGTATGAGACTAAATAATGTTGGATGCGCTTGAGAAATAACGCTACAGCTTATTGTAGCTTTGTGGCTTTCTGAATAGGATGGTGAATGTGTTCGATGAATTATCGTTAATCCAAATGTAATAAAAGGGAAGTCGACCCTGTTTCTGTTTCAAGAGTGAAGTCAACATGCTTCTTGGGGTTTCGCAAATTAAAAATTTTAGCAAGTCGTGCAGTAACTTCGGTAAGTGACGATGTGTAGTAAAAATGTCATCTATGCATCTACAATAAAACGTTTACTTAATGTTAAAATTACACACGCCACAAGTTATGGCACTAAGCGCGTCCATGAAAATTCTAGCCAAGGAAATACTAGTGGGGGATTCCATTAGCACGGCATATTTCTAGTGGCAAATTCTTATCATCAATATGAAGAAAAGGTTAGGAGCTATTATCTCCAACAGTTAAATTATAGTACTTATGTAGTCAAGGGGCTAGACTGGTTTCTTTCCACTTTTCTTTGATATCCTCCAAATGTTGCTAGCTTCCTATAATAGCAAAAAGCACAAACAATGGCATTTGAACACAACACATATTCGAGAAAAAAATCGAGATGCTTGCTTTGACCAATTGGCTTAAAAACTCCACAGTATAACCAGTGTGACGAAACGAACATCTGTTCAAAATTTTGAGGCCATGGCGACAGTCTAAGAATCCCGTTGGGGTGCAGAAGTCCACGAAAATACAGTAACTACAAGTAGACAGAAAAAAATTAGCGAAGTTTTCTTTTTAGCAATGTTCTTTCATGCGCGGTTTAAATTCAATCTGTTGCAGCTGAGCGATGAATCCGGCGTTCGGTTGGGCACGGGGGCGACAAGCGCGGATATGCTGAAAAGCATCTTCGAATGGTATTCGTTTGGCATGCATTAAATAGGCGATCGCCACTGCAACAGAACGAGAAATACCGGCGTTACAATGGACAAAAACAGAGCCTCCACTGGAAAGGGCATCTTCTATGAATTTAAGGCATCCGTCAAGAAATGAAGTCAAGTCGAATTTCTCGTCGTCAAGCAAAGGACAATGCAAATACGTAAAATGATTCTCGAAGTAATTTGGAACATCAAACGACACGTTTAATATGTGCGTTATCCCATTTGCCAGCAGCAATTCAAAATCAGCAGCGACGTCTTGACTACCTAAAGATGACATGTATTAGGATCCTTTCCAACGACCTGTCCGTAAGACAGTCTAATAACACCTGCGAGATGCTACAATTCGTATAACACTCCTGCAGAGCACTTATCGGTACAAAACAGAATATGCTAGACTTATTGCATATCTTATAGAAACAGGAGCTGGTCAGAAGCCTGAACGAGATATATTTATTAAGTGGTTTTCAGAAGCGAAAACTGTGTTCCTTTTTCAACAGAAATTAATAACGTACACAAGAAATATCGTAATCATGCATAACAAAGATCAGCAAAATAACTGTTAAAACACTGTAAAGATATATCATAAAAAAATAATTTTTACATTTGAAGCTTAACTCCAGCAAACGCTTTAATGAGGGTGGATT